TTTAATAAGCATATAGGACATAACGTTGTCAATAATAGTGGTAGTAAGTTACTCTACTTTCATATTCCTCACACTTTTATGTCTCTCTGTGAAAAATCTCAACTTACTTTGCTTAAATTATAACTTTAATATCAACTCGTAACACCCTAAAATTTATATTATTTGTTAAGAGTAAATTACTGAAATCGTCCCTATGGTTTGATCGAAATTACAAGTTTGATCTCTAACTTTTTTTTGCACTCGGATCATCCTTGTGGTTTGATTTTGTTGCGTTTTTCATCCCTATGGTTTGGTAAATTTTGCACGTTTGGTCCCTAACTTTATGTATGTAAGGGACGAAAAACGCAACAAAATCAAACCACATGGACGATTCGAGTGCAACAATAATGTTAGGGACCAAATATGCAATTTTTACCAAACTATAGGGATGATTTCAGTAATTTACTCTATTTTTAAAAATAATATTTGTTTATGTTTGTTTTTTCAAAACCTTTCATATTGCGAAATTTAGTCATAATTGTAAAATTTTTTCCAAAACATGATAACACATTTCACAAGGGTTACAAACTAATATACGAAACCATCGATAGCATTCAAAAAGTAAATCGCATACATTTACGATACAAAATAACTAACTATGATGCTCTACCTCTAAGTCCTAAAATATACATCTTCAAGTTTTTACAAAATACATGTTAGTAGTCTATGTCAATACTAATTACATGTACATGCCATTTAAAATAAAAAAGAATTTGTAAGATACATGGGTTTTAGACCAAAAAAAAAAGTATTTAATCATTAATCAATTGCATACCAAAGTCTTTTGTTATCTTTCAGTATTAAAAACATAATTAGATAAACATACTCTCATGTTACACTCAATGATATGTAATGCAATGCATGATTTCTAAATAAGTAAATTTTAAGCGGTCCACGTCCTTGGTGTTGTAATCACTCACTCCTTGCCATTTACGATGAACATATCAATCATAATGAGCTTATTTCCATAATTCTTACTGGTGCCACGAATCCTTATTGAGATGAGTTTATAGACATACTACCAAACCAATGTAATTACATTTGTGTGTATGATGAACATACTACAAACACACTTTGAAAATGCAAACATTCCTCACATACAAAGTGATGTGTCGTGAATCATGGTATTCTTATTATACAAAACACAAAGTAACATAGCAATACATAATAATTATTCATAGAATTCCTCAATCATAAACATTTTATTTCATAATAAAAGCATATGTTCATAATTAAGCACTTGTGAGATTTATCCAAGTAACTATTCATATGTACTCAACTTTGGTAGTTAGTATTAACTAACTAGAACACTTTGATTTTGTCCTTGTCCTTTGTTCTTGCTCCAAACTCTTCTCCAATCATATTCAATTGTTATAACAACCTTGTTTAGCAATTCATATGTTTGTTATAATATTAAACATGGTAATTTATCGATAAATCAATGCCTTTTCACACTTGTCCCTTGTATTTTCATCATAACATGCATATAGAGATGCATTACATCTTTTCTAATTTACAATACTTGATATCATTGAGTTTCCACGCATTATAAAGATCTTGTTAGCGACATACTCTTGATCTAATTTTAATAATCCAATTGGACTTTATTTATCAAAATGAAACACAATTTCAAAGAGTTTCTAGCCCCGTTATTTCAACTATCACTCCAATGGTAATGCCTTTTATTGCTCCATATGTATTATTACATAATGCCATTTATATAAGCTTTGATGATTTTCAACCTAATTTATAAAACAAATATGGCTGATAGCTCCAACTTGTTAATAATGGTAGATAACATGTTAAGATAGCTCATATCATTGTTATCCAAATTAGGATTCTTGATCTCATTTATATGAAGACTTTTGGAAAACATGTTAATTCAGCACAATAACATGTTATCCTTAGTCGAGCTTCCATTATCTAAGCTTAAACTATAACATGTAAACCCAAAATCAAAAGTCACATTTCATAATCACACTTCAAATCTCTATTGTAAGTAATTGGATTGAAAGATCAAAAGTGAATACCTTGAATTCAATGTATATGATGCTAAATATTGTTAATCCTCTTTGATTTCATTTTGATTTGAGAACTCATGCATCAAAAACACCCATTAAGTTTGGGAGTTTTGAGAGCTGGGTCTTAAACCCGAAGTCAAACCTTGGTCAACTGTTTTTATGTGGACCGAATAGCCTTAAGGAATGTTTATGCACATTATATACTCACGTCAAATAACTGATTTAAATAATTTATACAGTTTTTAACCGGTTTTTTTAGTTAATTTTTTTACTATTATTATTCTACGCAATTATCAGCAGAAAACAAAAATACAACTATATATAACCAATTACCAAATCAAATCTACTTTAAAATGGAAGAAATCAACATCTTTTAAAGTTTTTTTTTTTTTTTTTTTTAAACCCCAATATTTTCATGTTCTCAAATGAAGAAAATAAACGTAGACATACTTACAAATTCAAATTCAAATTCAACAGAGCTTTTCAAGGCCAAACTTGACCAAAAACATCCCTCTTCTTATATTGTCGATCCCAAGACCAAGGAACATCTGCACATAGTATACAACAAACACAAATTATACAACTTGACAAAAACTACATAAGATAGCCTCCTACTTTACTTTTTAACCAAAATAGCCAATGTACTTTATATATTTACCCATAATAACAACCTACTCACATTTTATTTATGGATATGACAATATGTAACAAATAAAGTACATTGCTATTATGGGTAAAGAAATGTAAAGAGTATATTATGGGTAGTGAGAAAAGAATTAAGATGACCTTCTGAAGAGTAACGTTGAGGAGGGAGTTCATAAGGCACTGGTAAGGTGATGACATCCGACATTTTGTTGGTATGTAATGAAGACAATGTTACTAGCTTTGTTCTTTTTTCTTCATGTGTTTTTGAAGATGAGACGTGAACATTCTGTGAAATAAAAAGACACAAATGCCCTCATCTTAGAATAAATATATCATTTACCCTAGAAAGTCGTGGAAAAGAGGTGAATGAATGCCCTGTAGCCCTACAAAGTATGTATATTCCCTCCTCATCCAAACAATCGAAAAAATAGAGCTAGAGAGTGTGCAAAAAGACATGAATGCCCTCAATAGACCTAGAAAATGTTAAATAGACACAAATGCTCATATCTTGGAAAATAAACCTAGAAAGTATGTAAATGCCCTCCTCATTCACACAATCATATCAGTAGCTCTAGAATATGTGCAAAAGACATGAATGCCCTCATCATCAAGAACAGCCCTAGAAAGTATGCAAATGCCCTACTCATCCTCACAATCGAAAAAGTAGACCTAGAAAGTGTGCAAAAGACGTGAATGCCCTCAGTAGCCCTAGAAAATATGAAAAGACGTAAATGCCCTTGTAATCCTCAGCCCTCGAAAGTTTGTCCAGTTCAGTCCGGTGGAAAACAAGCATTTTTTTTTACCTCTGATGGGGTCCGGTTTTCTGTACAAGAAAACGCATGAGCATGTATGGTTGAAGATGGTAAAAACAGCACACCAAGCTGCAAAAGGGTAAATAAAGTCAACTCAAGACATATGGGTGAAATTGTGAAATTACCAATCTACCCAGAAGAAAATTTGCAATCATGGTTTGGGTTTGGGTGATTTTAGATCAAAATTACCCACATCTACATGTTGCCATTGTCACAGACAAGGTTAATTTTACCAAAACAGACAAATGCTGGATTGCCTATTCATCATGTAGGAAAAAATAGGAACAAAATCAATAACATTTTTCACACACAAAAACTATACTACACTATTAAAGCTTCAAAGGAAAATTTCAGAAAAACACACTTTCTCTGTTTTATAGATTAGCCACTTAACTATTTCTACTGGTCATTAAACCATCATTACTTTTTTTACTATTTAAAAAAAAAAAAAAAAAAAAAAAAATTTCCCAGTTGAGGACAAAATACAGAAAAACACGAGGTACTTTCACCATTTTATCGATTTAGCCACTGAACTACTGTGTTTTTATGATTGGCTAATTCTATAAAAAAAATGAAATATTAAAATTTAAAAAAAAAAAAAAAAAAAAAAAAAAAAAAAAAAAATCCAACGGCTAATTCAATAAATCGGGTAACCTAGAAATATCTTTTTTTAATGGTCAAAATAGTTAATTGTCTGGCACATGTCTCTTTAATGATTACCTGTTCCAAAAACTTACTATTTGAAATTCTCATATTCTGCCATTAATAACTCATAGAAATAAGATAATTCTTTAAAACTTGGAAATTAAAAGAAAAAAAAAATTATTTTAAGATATATAGGAGCAAATACCTCATATGAACGAATCATGAGCTGTGTATTGTTTTTCTGAAGAGCCCCCCAGGCAGCTTTACTGAGGTTTGCTGAAGTCAGCAAAAACCATCTGTAATTAAGTGGATTCACAATATTTATATACACATATGGTCAAATAGTCAACAAGCAAACCATAGAGAGACAAGACAAGAAAAGAATTTACATACGCAAGGTTTTGACCATTATAACGAGTAAATGTCTTTATATGAGGTATCGCACGACTGCAACAAAGAATTCAAATTATATCAGTATTATCTAAAACAAGTAATATTTAAGAAAAAGAAAAAAAAAAACATTTCAGAAAATATATATATATATATATATATATATATATATATATATATAATACCAGCGACCAGTGTGGGTTGCTTTCCATTTTGCCCAATATTTCTTCAAAAATGGCTTCTCTACGTTCTTTTGAGGGCTTGGAACACAGCTCCCTGCAGCATAACCCTGTTAAGTACAAATGTTAAATAAAAGAAACTCAACATTCTTCCTTTATAATTAAAAAAAATAAATAAAAAGTTTAATTATATATATATATATATATTTACCTCTAGAGAGCATCTGATATCTTCAACAGTGGGCCATACAATTAAAGGGTCCCCAAGGCCAAGAGGCTTTTTATTATCATCTGAAACTCCTGATGACATTGAGAATGCAAATTCAGACATCCACTTCTCATCTAAAGAACCCAAGGATGAGAACTGTTACAATGCAAACATATCAATGTATTTATTTATATTTATAACAAACCATAAATTAAAAATCCATACTTTCATTGTAAAATTATCTACCTGATAAATAAGGGGAGAGTTTTGGAATTCTTTATCAAAAACACAATCCTGTAGAATCGATCTTAGCTTCATGTGTCCCCATTTCTTAATGTTTGAACCTGTATGATACCCAGGCACAGAACCTATTAACCTCACCTGAAATTTCAGAAAAAACAATTTTTAAGTAGAAAGCATTGAAAGGGTTTGATTAGCCAAAAGACATTAACGCCCTCCCAATCAAAATTGCTTATCCATTCTTGTCCCGTGTGTTTGTTACATGGGACAAAGGTTTCTAGGGGTATTTTGGATAATGAGGGTGAGAAGGGCATTAACGTCTTTTGCACAGATGAGAGAGTTACCGTTGCACTGCTGTAATCAAATCTTTTAAAGAAAGAGGAGTTGAAGCTGATGTTGCCCAGTTCTGGAAGCTTCACAGAAAACTCAGGCCACTGCAATTATTCAAATAGATAACCACTAATTAAAGGAACTGATATCACATAATGTTAATTAACACAATTTTAATACCCTAATATTGCTTATTAATTTGGGTAAAATGCAAAAAGCAAAGATAGTTTCACCATTTTATAAATTTAGTCACTTGACTATTTTCTATAGTGACTAAACAATTATACTTTTTTGGCTTTTTAAATAAACAATTTTCTTGGCTACTCCGTTTTGATATCAAGGCAAAATACAGAAAAGCATAAAAAAATTTCACTTCATCAATTTAGCCACCAAACTGTTATTATAATAGGAGTAAATTACACGAATGGTCCCTATGGTTTGGGGTAATTTGCGTACTTAGTCCCTAACTTAATTTTTTAACTCGAAAGGTCTCTACTGTTTGTTTTTGTTATACTTTTGGTCCCTGTCTTACCTAAAAAGACTATTATTTAAATAAAAAAAATGGTGGGATAGGTAAGGTAAGGTGAGGAGGGTGGGGTTGGGGTTGGGGGTGTGGTTATTTAAATAAATTAAAAAATCAAGGGTAAGATAGTCTTTTTAGTGAAGACAACGATGAAGCTCGTAACAAAAACAAACAGTAAGGACCTTCCGAGTTAAAAAAAAAAAATTAGGGACCAAACACGCAAATTATCCTAAAACATTGCATCTTCAGATCCTAAAATAAAAAACAAGTTTGTTGCATGAGTTGTGGAAAAAGGTGAAACTTTATTGTTGCATAAATGCACATATAATCCTTGATAGAGATGAAATACACATAGTACCTTCAATGCACTAAGATAGTCAATGAGGTCAGTTTCAAAACCACTTCCTTTATTCAAACAATCTTGATTCTTCAATGGGAAATCTTGCATCCATAGACCCTGGCTTTTGTTATTCCAATCAACATAGATTAAGTTTGCTGTATGAACAATAATTCTTACTCCTTCAGGATACACCAGAAACATAGCTTTCGAATGATGTGTCCCCCATGCTATTGGTAAAGAAGGTTTATGGAAAATCCAATTTTCAAGTTTGTGTTTCTGCCAAAAAAAAAAAAAAAAAGTTAAAACTTTTTATGTCAACAAGAAGCTTTGTTTGCATGTGTGACAAATTAAACCAATTGCACACCTTCATATTCGCCTGTCTGCCATCACTTTCTCCATGAACCACCAGAACATGAGGAATATTCTTTAAATTTGGACATGCTTTTTATTATAAACCAAAGAAAGAAATGTTATAAATCATAAATCATCTAAAATTAGAGAAATGATAAAAAAAAAAAAGTTAAGAAGAAAGAACAAAACATTTGGATCTTGTTTGGTGTGCATTGGACTGGGACAATGACTGATGTTAATGAGAAAAAATTTGCAACTTTTTGTGTAAAAAAGACGGAAATACCCTCATCCTCATCATTGAAAATTCCACAGGTCCTAAAGATGACAATATGCCACCAAAGGCCACACTTGGGTGGATGTTTTCTTACCTGACATCAACCAATCAATGTCAACCATGTAGTTTGAAAGAACAGCAATGACCACATTCCCCTAACAAAAATACAAAAGTGGCTCATCTTAAGATGACAATTTTCAATATATATATATTTTTTGGGAATGAACAAATTTCGATATATTTCAAAAGAATACCTGAATTACATCTGCAATTGATACAGAACTAGTATTAGCCCATGGTTGCAGACCTTTGACTTTCATAAGTCGAAAAGTTTGTGGTATTTTATCTTCTGAGGGCTTGAAATTGCGGATTGCTTCAGCAGAGTTCTTTGTATCTTGGGTATCTTCATTCAGCTCAGTCTGTATGTAAAAGTGGAATACATAAACATAATTCATATAGATTCAATGAACCAGAAAAAAAAAAGGAATTTCCCTATTAGAAATACCATTGTATGAGTCATAACAAATCAAAAAGAAACACCACTGTTTATTTGTCCAGATTAAGTTTTGTCCCCATTAAGTCGAAAAGAAAAAAAACAACTTAAACAAGTGAAGCTGCAGTACTATAAGTAACAAAAGTACCTGTAATCTTCTAGCAAGGGCCTCATCTTCAGAAACTTGTCTTAATCTCTTTTGAGTAAGTGGCTCATCTTGAACTCCTTCAGTTAAAGGTCTTTTCTGTTTGTTTGGGGAAGACTTTTTTCTTACATCATCAAGAGCTTTATATTTGAATAAGTAGTGCCCAGGGATTAGTTCTATTATATCACCATCTCTGATTGTTAGCTTTTGTCCAGATAAGAGCTTCTTCCTTTGATCCTGTGATCTAATCACAACTGGGTTTGTTCCTTCCTACAAGCACATACCTTGTGTCAAACAGACGTTGCATTTTTGGCAGGGTTAAGGTGTTAAAGGGATCAAACAGAGGGGTATTTTGGTCATTTAACATTGCTATATCCGAATTCTATGGTCTGACAGTTAAAAATAGTCTTGTTTCAGTTTATATATGTCAAATGCAAAACCTTTCATAGCTGAAAGTGCATATTGTATCATGCTGTGAAGAGTTTGTTCTATTTCCATCAAACTCAGTTTCTAACAAGTTTCATACTTTCTCTTTGAATGGAAGAAGGTATATGATATATTCATGTTGATCGTCATCACTGGAAGTTTCATTATGACAAAATTGTTTACTAGGATCGATCCCATTATCTGTTTGGGTAAATTTGCACATATTGAGAAGACTTTTTTTTTCCGAAATCCAAACACATTCTTATATGGAGGTGAACATAAGTGTGTGAGAAATACTCAAAAAGGTTATACCACAAGAACTTCCGCAGAGTCATCAGCAGAGACGATAACGGAGACATGTTTACGGCTTAGTCTCTTGTCAGTGATAGGTATAACATCGCGACCTAATAAGTTAATGCCTTTACTAATCTCAACTCTAGGGATTGAATTCGAAGTGTCTTCCTCTAGATTAGCATTCAGAGGCACCAAAACCCCAACCTTCTGCACATAATCAAAAAGAAAAAACATATATTTCGTAAACCGATTCATGTGTAATAGTTCGTGTGACAGTATGTTGAGATTACATACCTTAGAAGAAGTTTCCATTGACAAATGTGTAACTAGCAAAGCATGATCTTGAACCCTAATAACGGATATGGATTTCGTGTACTTTGGTTTTTGGTGTGTAAAATGAGGGGGAAATATCAGTCAGCACCTCGAGGGGGAGCTACGTGTAGCCTTTTTCTTTTTAATTCCGCGAAGAATGGCGGTGTTCGGTTGCATGATTTTGTTAAAGAAAAATGTAGGAGAATAAAGCAAAAACAAAAGTTTGTTTAGGCCTATTATTATTAAGAAATCTTTTATATATATATATATATATATATATATATATATATATATATATATATATATATATATATATATATATATATATATAGAGAGAGAGAGAGAGAGAGAGAGTTAAGATCAAATAAGAAAGAAATTTTCGGTAGGAAAGTAAGAAGTTTTTTTTTTACATATTTTTTTAGCGAACATACAAAATGAATCATTAGATGATTCAAAGTTAAGATGATTCACAAGAAAAAATTTCCAAACAAACATCTTCATAATTCATTTTTAAGTAAATTAAGAAAAAATTCACTTTTATGACAATTTTAATAAATAACAACGAAATCATTGTATAAATGAATCATCGGTGTGTTTTTTGGAGATTTTTTTTTGGTGAATCATGTTATTTTTGATTCATCTAGTAATTCATTTCTTTTGTTCGTCATCAAAGTATGCAGAAAAAAAAACTTCTTACCTTCCTACCAACAAAAATTTCTTACCGGATCTATACATATATATATATATATATATATATATATATATATATATATATATATATATATATATATATATATATATATTTGATTTGTTGAAATTTCTTTTTTCAATTAATGTTATAATATTCACCCTTCAACTTTATGTTTTTGTTCACAAATAATCTTTTTACTTTCATTTGAATTTTTCATAACCCTTACATTTTATTACATATTATTAGTATTTAGTCATATTAATATTTTTTTGGCAGGAATGGTCCCTCAACTATATTTGGGTTATTTTAAAGTTGCTTTCTTTCCGTTGGTTATTTGTGGCATTATAGGTTTCTATGTTTTCGTTTACTTGTCACTTTATTAGTTTTGCTTACAGATTCATTTATGTTTTTTTATTTCTTATTTATTTATTTGTTTATAGATCAGTTAAAAATGGAAGGAATGAACAACTCAAACTATAAACATTTTCAAAGAACAAACAACGAAAAAAATTATCGCATCCGACCTCCGCAACGCGGGGGTTCCCAATCTGGTTTTAATAAAGTTTTAAATTTTATTTTTTAACAGAAAAGTTTCTAATTTTTTTTAACTTTGTAAATAGAAAAACCAAAAAACCCGACTAATTTATTCACTTTAATATTTTTTGACTTGTTTAGCAGATTATGAGACCAAATCATTAATTTTTCCAATATAATAGATTTCATCAAAACTTGTATATAATGTATAAACATATTTTTTACACATTTATATTTACTTTTACGTAATTATGTATTTTTTAAAGTTTTTATATGTATATATTTACGTATTTTTATGTATTTTAAATGTATAAACGTATTTTTTATGTATTTATATGTATTTTTTAAGTATTATATTTTTTTTATGTATTTTTATTTGTTATATTTTATGTATTACATATTTATATCTATTTTTACATATTTAGGTATTTATTTTAAGTTTTTATGTGTATATGTACATTTTTTATGTATTTTAAATTTATAAATGTATTTTTAAGTATTTATATCAAAATCTCATATCAAATATCAGAGTAAATCTCCTAGGCTAGAAAATTATGATGTGTGTCATGCGATCATCCTGAGCCCTTCCCTTTGCTAGCTGAAGTACCTTAAACCAAACTGAAAACTATAAGCACGAAGCTTAGTGATCTCCCCCAAACTACCACATACCATACATGTATATCATATAACAGATAACACAACTATGGGACACCTGTTGGATTAGTGTCTAAGTCCATAACTATTTTGGTATGTACTTGATCCGATGGTGCATGGTCCTTTTAGGTTGCCTTTACCCAAGCAACTTGATAGGATGAATTATGGAGAGAAATGATTAAATATGATTTATTAATATATTATGAGAATAATATATTAAAGGAGAAATCATATTGTTTAATTAATATTAGTCAAGAATTAATTAGTAAATAGTTTTGTGACTAAAAGAGATTAATTAAACTTAAGGGAATGGAATTGTAATTGTAAGATAATTGCAATTTGGGCTATGGATTGTCTTAAATTAAGGAGTGGACGAATTCTATGGGGAAGCCCATAAGGAAATCGTCCAAGGTCTTAATTAAAGGAGTCTATGGGTTGCTTAGGGCTTAAGCATCCAAATTAGGGTTTCCTTGTTAGATAACCCTAATAACCTCACTATATAAAGACCCCTTATGACCCAAAAACGTCGGGAAGACTTCTTCTAGGGTTAGAACACGTTTTGGGCAGCCTCCATTCTCTCTCCTCTTCATCCTCTTGCTCTTGGTGTTTGTAAACCATTAGAGGAGTGCCATTTGTGACTCTAGGCTTTCTAAAGTCAATACAAGGAGGAATTGGATTGTTATTGCTACATAACAATCAAGGTAATGTCTTAAACCCATTCTTATGTTAATATGATTACTTGTATGCTAGAATTAGGGTTTATAGTCTTGGATAACTTGCATGTACAATAGAGAAACCTAGATCCAAGCATTAGGGTTTGTATGAGCACATAGGATGTTCTTATGACCAAAACTCATCAGTGGTATCAAAGCCTAGATTGGTTTCTATTATATTGATGCCTTGTATGTTGAAAAAAATTCGATTTTTGTGGTTCTGCATCATAGACTCGGCGAGTCTCATTGTGGACTCGGTGAGTCCATGGGGGTACTCGGTGAGTTCAAGCGTCAGATGGAGTTATTTTCGGGATTTCTTGTTGTTTATCTTTGAGATACTTGCCTTTATGATATTAGATCAATATAAATCCGATTTTATGATATATATGAGTATATTCTTGATCTAACTGAAGATATTTATCAATTAATAAAAATATTTGTTTCCTTATGTGATAATTGATTAATTATTTTGATTAAATTAGTAAATTTTTTTGCAAGAAATCATTAAATAAATCAAATATGGATAATTATGTGATTAAATGTTAATTTAGATTATTTGTTATTTGATCCTTGTTGTTATGAAAAGTTTAATATTTTCCCCTTTAGGTTTTATAGTTTAAATTTGAACCCAAAAGTTTGTTGTTTTGAAATTTAAATAGTTAAAACCCTAATGTTTTGAAAAAAATGTTTCAAAACTTGTCCTCAAGTTTTGGAATTTAAATTTTGAATTAATAGTTTAATTTTGATGCATATTTAAATTCTAAAATCTAAACCCTAATGTTTTGAAATGTTTCAAAACTTGCCCTCAAGTTTTGGAATTTAAAAGTTGATTAAAAGTTTAATTAGGAATGTTAAATTCTAAAACCCTAGTAATGTTTTGAAAAGTTCAAATCACTCCTTATGGTTTTATTAATTAGTTAAGGTGTATAATTAAAAGAGATTTAATAAATCCATAAAAGTTTAGGTTTACAATTTAATTGAATTAAAAGTATAATTGTTAAATTAGACCACCTAGTATTTTAAAAGTGTAAAATACACACTATACTATATATAACATTAAAAGTCTAACATTATATATATATATATATATATATATATATATATATATGTATGAGTAAAAGTCAGTCTTACCGTTAGTAGGCCTCATTCACGAAGCTGGTCTATAAGGGGTGTTTAAGGAAATTGCTTATAATATGGCGATTGAATGGGTATCCACTCTTACCCACCGCACTCTTGACTAGTGGAGGGTCGTTAGCCAAACGGGTAGGATAGGACGAAACCTTCCATTATAAGTATAATGAAATACAAAAGTAACTAAATGTTTTTACAAATTCCCAATCTTAGTTACTTAGGCAAAGTGAATTGATGCAATTCCATGAAATTACACTTTGTGCCCTTGCGAAGACTGTTGGATTAATGTCTAAGTCCATAACTATAATTGGTAAAACTTGACCCGACCCGGCATGGTCCATTTGGGTTGCATGGCATCATGCACTTTGATAGACTAAAATCAGAGAAATAACACTTAAGGTTTGTTAATATATTATAAGTTCTAATATATTAATAAGGTTATTTAATTAGTATTGATCAAGAATTAATTTGGAATTAATTAAGTGATCAAAAGGAGACTAATTAAATATATGGGTTGATTGTGTAAATCATTCATTCTTGTATATGTGGGTTTGTGATCCAAGATTCCTTATGTTGGACTAAGTCCATGGGGTGACCCATGGATACTCCATGGAGGTTAAAATCCATGGAGCATAAGGAATGGGTAAAGTCATGAGTTACATGGTGTAACCCTAATAGCCACCATATAAAAGAAACCCATGGCTCAAGAAATCGTGACTATGTGTATGTATGAGGGCTAGACGATTTCATGAAGTGTTCTAATTTCTCTCAAGTTATTCCAAGTGTATTTGGTGTTGTGTGAACCATTTGAGGTGTCACACTTGGGGCACTAGGCACTCAAGCTACATGAAGACAAGCACTATCAAAGAGGTATGTATTCTATCTTGTTATATCCATTATTTTGTATGCTAGATTAGGATAATACCTTGGATGTTCATATTTGCATGTATAATAGAGAAAACATAGATCCAAGGTATTTAGGGTTGCATGTACACTTAGGAGTGTTAGAATGCTCATAACCCAACAGTGGTATCAAAGCCTAGGCTTGTTTTCTTGTTATACCTGCAATAGAAGCTGAAAAATCGAAATTGGTGCTGTCAGCCCAGCAGACTCGCCGAGTCCATGAAGGGACTCGACGAGTCCAAGGCAAAATGCATCCAACTCGCCGAGTTGTGTTCATGCACTCGACGAGTTGGACCCCAGACAGCATATTTTCGAGGTTTTTGGCTAGAAATGGACTAGGAACATTACCCTAAGTTGTTTTTGAACTTATAAACTTGTTTTTAATGTGGTAATGTTCATGCTAATCCATTTTCAAAGATAATTGTCAATAGATTCATGTTTTGTATTAGTTTAAAGGTTAGACTAATTACATGAAAAAGTTTGATTTGAATTATCTTGTTCTTATGAGTTTCTTAGATTAATAGAAAAGTTGAGTGAAATAGTTGTTTTCAATCCATTTTAATCTAAGAGTTGAGTATAAAATGTGTTTGTGTAACTTAT